TCTTTGGTCTTGGCCATGGCGGAGTTTGGAGTCTGACTGTTTGAGGCTGTGGACAGGTGTCTTTTATACAGATGATGAGTTCAAACAGGTGCCATTCATACAGGTAACGAGTGGGGGACAGAAAAGCTTCTTACAGAAGACGTTACAGGTCTGTGAGAGCCAGAGATTTTCCTTGTTTGAGGTGACCAAATACTTATTTTCCACCCTGAATTTACGAATAAATTCTTTACAAATCCTACCATGTGATTCATGGATTTTTTTTTCACATTCTGTCTCTCACAGTTGAAGTGTACCTCTGGTGCAAATTACTGACCTCTGTCATCATTTTAAGTGGGGGAACTTGCACAATCGGTGGCTGACTAAATACTTTTTTGCCCCACTGTATAAGTTTTCTTTTCCATGCAGGTTGTATGACCAGGCTGGTTTGTCTGTGGAGGCCTCAAGTTGTCTCAAGAACCTGGCTGATTGTTGTGTAATATGGGAGCTGATATAAGCTCAGTGCAGCCTTCTGTGAAGGATAATCTTCATAATAGGATGATCTCTCATCAAGTATTTCCATAGTCAATATTTCTTAACTTTATACTTATGCACTTTTATATTAGTTGTAACTCCTGAAATATTATTTCCACCGTAGGAAAACTAACATCTGTCTTCATTTTTTGTTTTGTGAAGAATGGCAACTTAAGACATCTAGTGAAACTTCCACTGGCTCTTGGATCTTTTCTTGAGATATTTAAATCTTCAGTGGGGGTTGTCGGCAGGAGAAGCACAAAGAGCTTTTCTTAAGTCAAAATATGGGCAAGCCTTTTCATTTTCTCATGTTCTGCTAATGCAGCAAGTTGGCTGAGCAAAACAGTGTGATATCCAACAACCTTTGAGAATATATGCTGTTTTAAAAGGGGCATGGTCAGCAACCTCATGTCCTCCTTCTGTGTTATACTGATAATTGCAACAACAAAAAAACAGATCTTCAGGGCAGAAGAATAAACCCCATAAATAAATAATCACTTTATATGCCTCCCTGAATATACTGCAAGATTTGCAGTTACTGCTTCTGTCTGACAATCTCATTGATCATGCTTCTGTGTTTGGTAAGCAAATACAAAGGCTTAACACTAGCTGTCAGATTCTTCATTAAAGAGACAACAAATGTGAATAAATCAACAGTTTTAACAGAACTTCAACTGATGTAAAGAGAATAAAGTCATATTTCTGTGCTCGATTACATAAAATGATATTCAAGCAATGCATCCAGCTGTGTTGTTATATCAATGAGTCCTCTTTTGAACAGGATTCTTGTTAATCTATAATGTAAATATGTAATTGGTTTAAGCTCATGCAATCTTGTGAAAATATAGTGAATACAAAACACATGATAATTACATTTTAATGATTCACTTTAAGCTTTAAGCCATGTGTTATTGAAAGTAAACAGAAGGTCTCTTCATGGACAATCTTCACCTTATCTTTTCAACCTTCTTTGATGCCCGCAGGATTCAGAATCAATCAAACTTTCATGAACCTGGCAGCATTTCTCCTCCCTCATTCCTTGTATTCCTCCCCCTACCTTGTGCTTGTGTGTATGTATGAGTGTGCTTGCACATGTGTGTCAAGGCCAGGTGCTCTGTTCTCACTCCCAGTGCCAATCAACCTGTCACCTGATGTCCATTCACTCTTCAAACCTAGTTGGATATCTTCCCTGGCTTCTCCACTCCTCATCGGTTGCCTCTGATCTCCTTCGTGTCTTTTACAACTAAGCTCAGGGAGCATCTCTCAGCCCCGATTGGCACCAGCCTGCCCTGCTCTTTAGTGCTGTGTAGCCATTCCCACCAAACTAGCCAGACAGTCGTGCTCCCTATCCTTTAATTCAGGCAAGAGTCCTGAATGTACTCATTTGTCCCTGTCTTATTCAGTATTACCTGAATTTATGTGTTGCTGTGACAACCAGGAAAGCAGATTTATATGAAGGTAAATCTTTTTTAAAGCTAGACCCCCTAAGGGTCGCCATGGCAGAGCATCAGCTTCCATCTCATTTGTCTTTCATTTCTCTTTTTCAGAGCATACATCCACCTCTCCAGGCTCTCTTCCACCTGCTCACTACTCTCAGTGCAGATCACAATGTAATCTGCTAACATTATAGTCCACAGAGTCCAGACCTCATCTGTCAGCCTGTCCATCACCACTGAGAACAAGGAAGGGCTCAGATCTAATTCTTGGTTTAATGTCCCCCCCCACCTTGAACCTTTCTGTCAATCCTTCGACACACTTAACCTGTCATGGCCCGTGGCTCGGCATCCAGGGAGCCGTGGGAGGCTGCGGTGGCCACACCCTCGGGCTGGGCCGCCTCCAAACCACCTGCGTCTCATCTGAGGCAATCACCGGAGGACTACTTCAGCCAGCTCTGACGGCTTCTCCTCGCCAGTCCGTAAGTCTCCTCCCAGTGTGACCAGCATTTGGCGTGGAAGCCTGTGGCCTGCCTGCCTGCCTGACTGCCTCCCTCCCTGCCTCCCTCCCTCCCTCCCTGCCTCCCTGCCTCCCTCCCTCCCTAGGATTCCCTTCACGGGCACCTCTCCCCTCCAAGCTCCACGGTCCTGCTCTACCTGTAAGCCTCGGCAACTTGTGAAGTCTAGTTGTTCGTTTCTTGACAACCTGCCTACTGTTAACTGTGTCTCCCCTTTCTGTTGCAGTTTCCCCACGGTCCCGATTACGGCGCTCCTGGGCTCCACGCTCCTCGTTTCCCCCCCGTGGCATGAGCCGCGTTTCCTTAGCTTTGTTAAAAGATTCCTCAGTTAAATAAAACTTGTACATAGTTCTGAGCTGCGGTGTGCTGAGTCTGCTTTTGGGGTCCTGTTACTTGAACACTCCGTGTTCTGTGACATAACCATTATGTGACTATCCTCATATCTTCTGCATCATGTTCAACCTGTCTCTCTGTGTGTGTGTGTGTGTGTGTGTGTGTGTGTGTGTGTGTGTGTGTGTGTGTGTGTGTGTGTGTGTGTGTTGTGAAATATGAGAACTTGAAAAATATGTGTGTAGGAAAAAAATAATTTGAATTTTGAAATTTTCACTTGTGTTCTACACACTTCTGCTTTTTAAATTTACAGTCATACAAAAAACAATCACAAATATGTGGAAGGATATCAACACAAATATGATATTTTAAACTGGTAATTCAACATTTGAAAAGTCAGTCAAAATTGCTCTCTCCCTGTTGTCCACTGTCTGCCATGCTGGATTAACAACCACCAGGCACACCAAGCCATTTAAGTATCTTTGTTTAAAAAAATAAACTCTTCAACTAGCCATAAATTTAGCTTGGACGGCAGCTAAATTTAGCTACTGTCCACAAACACCATTGAGGCTTACAGCTGCTACAGTAAGCCAGAGAATGTATTCAGGCTGATGTTTCTATCTTACCCAGATGCCATAATGTGAGGAAGGTCATTGAACTGTAAGTTCACAGGAAGAGTGAGATGAGCAGAGCAGCTGGCTGACTTACTGCTTTGAATAACATAAGTTTAGATTAAATCTATATGTGGCATGACGACATAAACAAAGGCAGATCTTGGTAGATTTTAAATATAAAATATTCAAGGACCGCAGCAGCTGTTGAACTACAGGTATGTGCATCTGTTTTCTGAGTGGCACAATGGAGCCTATGTACTGATGTGTTCAGCACGTGATGTGCCCCTCTCACACTAGATGAAATCTAATAGAGGTGGACAGGCCTGGGAAAGATCAGTGAGCAATGAATGAGTTGGCACTCTCCAGCCTGCAAGATATGAGAGAATAACCTGGTCCAAGTCCAAAATGATGTACTAACTGGTTCCGCCACAACAAGAAAGAGTCCTCAAACACACAGTATCTGTCAGTCATTGCAACATGGTAGAAGAATAACCAGATTAAAATATCAGCACACATATGGGTCACTAGAGCTGTGTGTGCTGCTTTTTCCCCTTTTCATTAAGCCAGTGGCAGTTCAGTCATTTAGTTTGTCCTTGACCAGATTTGCTGACTTGCATGGAAGTAGGGACATGACTTTATGGTATCCAGAGGCTTTAGTGAGACGGGTTGGAAAATTACTACATCACTGACAGAGACTTTGGATAGTGGAAGCCACTAAAAGCAAAGCTGGAAAAAGAGTGTTAGATCCAAAAAAAGAGAGAGAAAGAAATCAAAACACATAACACGTATCACAAATAGAGGCTCTGACATATTTGTATTGTAATGTACTACCAGAAATATAGAAGCAGGTTAAAGGAATAGTTTGACCATTTTAAGAATACAAATATTTCAGATGTAATCATGGATTGTTTAAAACACGGACATACTTGGCTGGTCTGAATATTTCAGACCAGCTACTGATCTTACTGGTATTTTCCCACATAGGCAACTCTAGGGTTGGTTTTTCTAGTCCTTTTCTGACAAAGTGAATATAAATTTCACATAATGTAGTTACATACACTTACATTGTATCTATTCATCATGCTTTGCATATTCTAAATTCTCCCTTGCCAGCTGGAGCGGCAGTCTTTGACATGTCTACTTAGATTACCTTCACTGGTAGCTTCTGTTCTGCCCACAGGAAGGTATCCAGGTGGTCTCCTTCATCTGCACCAGAACCAATAGACATTTGTTTTTTTTGTTTTTTTTTAATTAAGAAGCTTCTCACTAATCTTCTGTGACACATCATGTTGACTGTCTGAATACACCATCTCATGTTTTTATTCACTGTCCCATGCTCATGGCTACAGGCTGCAGACTACAGGAAAGGGTGGGGTAAAGATTGTCCAGTGAAATCTCTTGTGACTCAGTTGTTTTTCTACTTCTATGGTACAGACACATGACTATGGCTCAGGCAAAGTACATTGATACTTTAAATGCTTTGAATAATATAGGGTTTGGGAGTAATGATATATTAAATTGATATATAATCAAGACACAACCTAATATTAATAAATTGTTGTTGTAGTCTAAATTGTGTTCTTTTTTTCATCACTATCAGAATCAATTAAGTTATAAAAACCTGCTGGAAGGGATTGATTTCATTAAGGTTTGGTCAGCTCACACTCCTTGCTGCTGATGCTCTCAGAGGCCAGTGAGTCCCAGAAGTTAGGCAAAATACTAACGCTTCTATGGTCACCACTGTGTTCCCTGCGATCATAAAGACATGAAAAGAAGAATCAATGAATGGGTGACAACCCCACTGCCCTTTCTGAAGTGTAACTCAGAAGATTTACTAGGAGCCTAGCTCAGATTTATTGTCTTGCTTTAACGTAATTGTTAGCCAGTCCTACAGTATCACATTTTGTGTGAAGGTTGTGTCATATTCAATTTTTTGAGACACTCATTCTGTTGTGCAGGGGGAAAATAACATGCTGTGATTTGTGGCCCTGTCTATTGCATGGTCAAAATGCTTTGTCTCTACTGTGTTTGGTATTCAGGGCTCATTTAACAGAATATTATGAGACGGGGTTTGAGCTGTTGAAGCCACCTGATGCTACATGAAATAATCTTAGTGATTACACAACATAGAATAATTTGAATAAGTTTTTTAATTATATATTTAGCAGAAAAAAACTGTATGCTAATCATTAGATCCATTGCATTTTAATTATTGACTTTATGAAATGGAGGCTTGTTAGGAAAGTCAATCAAATATATTTTCGTCTAATGAAACAAAATGCTAATGTTCAGTAAACATTTTCAGTGACAGATTTCTTTCTAAACTGATTTTTCCTTTTTTTAAAAAATATCTTGACATATTTGATAAGCAGTCATTTTGAAACATTTCTTGGACCCACAGACAAGGAAAAAAAAAAATTTCCTGCCAATTTCTGACAATTTTAAGTTGAAACAGTTGATCCGTTTCATCAGCTTTTTCGTAGTCCAGCCAATTGAGCCAACTTATTCATGCAAAGGAACCTAACAATCTTCATTAAACGTGCATGTAATAGTCCTGCATAGAAAACTAGTTTCAGCTGCTCCCTTATTCACAATGGGTCACCGCAGTGAGTAGCTCCACATGTCTGAGTTTTGCACTGGATCCCCTTTCTGATGCCGCCGAGAATCAACTCTGAATATTTTGCTCATTAGGCAAATGTGAAAACCACTACACAACGATACCATTATACATGATGTCCTAAATATATGATGTGAAAAATAATTCTAGCAGAAAAATAAAGGGACAAAACCTAATTGTTTTAAAATAGTCCTATAATAGTACTTTCTGGTAAGTTTCAGGCATCTGATATTAAAAGTCTGTCATAGCTATCATGCATGTTACTTTCTTATAATGACAAGCGAAAATGTCATGTGACATACATAATGAAATCATCGTATTTCAGACCACGACTGACAGTTGGTATGCATCTGTAGCTCTTTCTTTAGTTGTATCTGCACATGAAGGACTCTTCTGATTACTTTTAAGCTCCGACAAACCCTTTACATCAGAACTCAGGAAGCACTCTTTAGTAACCAATCAGCATCTTCTATCATTTATTCAATGTTGTATCCTTTAGCACATCTTGGTGAATGTATAGCTCACATAGCCGGCTCAAAACCAGTTAAACATATCATGTAGCGGTAAATGTGTTTTACTGGGTAATGAAGATATGTAACCTTAAATTAATATGGACAACCTCAAGCATCACACAGGCTACACAGACACATGGACATAATTTGTCTACAAGTGATAGATAGATTGTGTCTTTAGACTTATTCTACACATGCATGTTGTAATTGTAAAAACCAATAAGTTCAGTAAACAAACAGCCCAAACAATGAAATGCCAATGTTGCCCCTCTCCCTGCGACTAAACACTGTCAGACGCTGTTGTCAGTGGATTTTGCCTCAGCCTGTTCAGAGCTGATGTCCTTTTCACCACTGGTCATGCCTCTTTTAGATGGTAAGACAGATCCAGTACATTTCAAGGACTCCATTATTACTGCATTAGTCTCCAAGCTGGACATTACAGCGGCTTTGCGATAGCAGTTTCTCAGCCCCTTCTGGAAGCGTATGGTGAACAGGCCATATATGATGGGGTCCAGGCAGGCATTAAAAAGACCAAAGATGAATAGGATGTGGGTCAGAGAGTGAGAGACTTTTCCCTCCAGGTCATCTGGGAAGAACCAGTACCATAGACCCAACAGGTAGTACGGAGTCCAGCACACAATGAAGCAGATCACAATAACAATGCTCATTTTCAGAGTTCTCATTCTTGCTTTTGGGATGTTGTTCTTTGAGCAGCGGAGATGTGGCTCATTGGAGGGCACTATAGGAGAGAAAGAAACACATTTGATGTCAAATAAATACATCGAGCATTTCTTTGAAGAAGTACATTTAGAACACACTTTTATCATTTCATTTATACGTTTCTGCTGTGAATCATGTTCTTTCTTTAACTGCAACAGTTTATACATCAGTCTATCCAGCACAACTAACATCACACAGACTTTGTACTGGGGAGACCAGCCAACGTCTGCTCCACTACATTGGACATTTGCATTCTCACATGCACATTTGTCAAATTTTCAGTGTTTTCTCACATTTACTCTGGTAGTAGAAAGATAATCTTTGCTGGTGGCGGAGATGTTAAGGTGACTGCATGGCAAGTAGGAATGGTCAAGTGAGAAAAGGTGGGAGAGAGTGCTGATGGGTCAAAATGACAAGAATACGATGAAACAAGAAAAACATAACCTGAACAGAAGTTGGTGATACTGAAGTTAAATGTTGCGAGCACCTTTTAGCTTGAACGTATTTTTTAGTTCTTGTAGTTTTGCCTGTGTTTGGATCAACTACCATTTACTTGGACACTTACTGTTCTTTTTTGTCATCTGTTTGGAGATCTGAATAAAGATCCTGGTGTAGCAAATAATCATAATAACCAGCGGCAGCAGGAAGAGACAACAGAAGGTAAACATGTTGTAAGCGGTTTCTTGCCAGTGCGTAACGAAGCTTCCCCTGGTGGTGCACTGAGTGAAGTTTGCTGGATAGGTAATGGTCACATTATGGAAAATGAACATCTGTTGGATTAAAAATTCAAAACAAAATTAGAATTTTGCAGGCAGTAGCTGTCACCCAACATATTTTTTTATTTGAATGTTGGCTTGAAGATTAAAATATTATCCAAATGATTAGACCAAATGGACCAGTATGCCTTAGTCAGTAAGCGTGAAATGACAATTAGTAGTGTACCAGAGATTTTTAGGTTTGGGGAGAGGATTGAAATGTGAATCAGTTTAAAAGTTCAGAAAACCCAAGCAGTGGTTATTATTACTTTAATATTTAAAAAATACTGCACAGGGTTAAAGTACTTAACACCCAGTGTTAAGTACTTTAACCCTGTGTAGAAGCTAAACAACGATTTACTTTAAAGACATTACAAGAATGTAAGATTTACCACACAGTCCTCATCCTAAAAGTAGTTTCTCTTATATCAATAAAAGCAAAAAGCTATTCTGAGAATATGGGAAACAGTGTGTAAATTCAACCTACACATCCCTATAAAAACGAGGTATTTTTATTTCAAAGTATTTTATAGCTGCACATTGATCATTAGCTAGTAAGGCGTACTAGTACTTCTCTGCCTAAAAACACAGACGCCTGATACACTTTTAAAGCATTATATGAGTTATCAAGACCACATTTAAGTGCCTATGCAGAGATGTTTTAAAATGGGTCAGCTTGGAGTGTAAAGTCAGCAACATGTTATTTTATCCACCAGCTTGTAAAGTCTGATAGCAGCAGTTTTCATATCTGGTGGCAAAATAAACAGTTGCTTGCTATAAATGGGAAGACTGCTTTCGTCTACCTCTCTTTGTCACAGTTTCAAAAATTACTTGAGACTTTTACAGGGGTTGAATTTACATTAAGAATACCTAAATGATAATTATTGCCCCTTTGAAGTTGAAGTCTACAGATAATTAATCATTTCATTTTTGAAAATTACTCATTTTTGTTCCAACGCTATCAGTTAAAAATGTGAAATATCCAACTAGATCATTCCAGACAACACAATACAATATTTTCATAGCTTACTTTAAGCCCCAAAACCGAAAGATATTGCACTTATATTCATATATGAGAAAGAAAAGCTGTCCATGTTTAAGAACATGTGAGCAGTAAATGTTTGGGAAAATAACTAATCAATAAAGCAAGTAATCCTTTCTTTTCTACAATTAATTATTATTTATGATCAGCACATTTAGGAATTCTTGCACATTTCAAAATGTTTGCAATCCTGTGCAGAATCATCTAGCATGCTTGAAGAGAAGATGGGCTATATTTGTGTTTATCATTACACCACAATGAAAAAGTGTTACAGGCTGCACTCACTACCATGCTGTTTACAGGGTAAAAGCCATACAGCCAGGGTAACAGGTCCTGATCTTTTAGAAATCTGAATGATAGAGCTATTAATTCCCAAGGTTTATGCCCCCCTAAAGTCCACAGCAGAAGTTCATGCATCAGTGTCTAGAAAATACCACATCTGATGTAAATACACCCTGCGACACAGAATGCTTAATCATGTATTAATAATGTAAAAACACAATCTCATGTTCTCTTACATTTGTTTGCCCACAAGTTTTACAGTTATATAAGACTGAGACACAATATTCATCTTCATCTAAAGCCAGTTATAAAGCTGATTTATAGCCAGCCCACTTCCATAGATTAGGGATCATTCAAGGAAGGTTGCACTTGCACAGGAAGTGCATGAGGAATCTGCAGAAGAAAAGGTCAGCACCAAAGTAACTACTATGACTCAGACCTTCTCTGAATTACTTAAAAAATGGTCTGTCGAACTATAATCACATGTCTTGGCTTCTGGTCTCACCTGTGGGATTGAGAGCAAGGCGCTCATGATCCAAGCCACCATTAGCATGACCCTGTTCCTTTTCCGGACCATAGCGATGCCCAGAGGGTTGAGGATAGCCGACTGTCTGTCCAGACTAATCACCACTGTGACAAAGGCACAGGAGTACATGGCCTGAAGCTTGAGGAACATGAGGAATCTGCAGGCCAGGTCGCCGGCCAGCCATTGAACTGTGATGTTCCACACTGCATCTACAGGCATCACGATGAAGGTAACTAAGAGATCAGCTGCAGTCAAGTTGATTATCAGAACTCTAACATGGGACTTACGCTTGTGCCCATTGGCAGCCCAAAGCACAGCCAAATTGCAAAAAGTGGATATGCCACACAGGATAAAGGTAACAATCACTCTGATCTTCGCTGCAGTGGAAAAAGTAGGCAGCTGCAGAGCACCGTCCACTGATGTCCAGTTACAGTGAGGATCTGGCCATTCACAGCTGGCGTTGAGGTCAAGTCCTGATCTCTGCTGGTACATGACAGCTGCAGGATCACAGCAGGAGGAGCCGTTCATTTTCTGACCCTCACCAAGAACCCAGCATTTTGCTCAGCTACATGTGGAGGCTGCAGTTGCTAAAGTGAGATCAAGCATAAATATAATATACATGAGCTTATGCATGAAGTTGATGCACAAGATTTATCTGCATTGATTTGCATAATAGGACTAAAAAATATTAGTTCTGTGATTAATACAGTCGGTGACAGAGAGGGAGCAGTCTGCTGCATAGAGCACATCTCTCGGATGTGCTCACTGAGGTGGAAAGACGCTGACTTCTTCTAACAACCCATCTTCTCTGAACAGAAGCAGCATCAACAACAACCAGTCAAGATAATTACACCCCAATGGCATCAATTTTATGAGTCAAAAATACTTACTATAATACTAATACTAAGTTTATTATATTTATGAGACAAAGTTTAGCATCTCTCACTTGTGAAAAAAAATGCAACTTAGCTATGGCTTTTATGCGTCTAATAATATGTGTGTCATTTAAAATGTAAACCAACAATTAGAAGTCGTAGTCAGCGTCAAAAACAGCACTGTGCCTGAAAACAAAAACAATTAAAAATACATTTATAAGTACTAAAGTACAATAAAATAAAATTAAAAAAAACTCACATTTTGGTGTTGCAGATCACTGTACTTTCCAGACGGTGACCAAATCGAAGCCCACTGGTTTTATGGAAGTCCGAGATTCCGGTGCGGCTCCATGTCCCTGCAGCAGGCACAGTGCAGTGCTGAGCTTCTGAATAATAACTGAAGAATCTCAAATGTTCCCTCACAGTTTTATCTCCGTACCCCTTCTGAGGAGCTCATCTCGGTTTTTATTACTCCCTCCGGTGAGCGCGTCAGCCGCTCTGTGGGCGCGGCTACACCAGGGTCCCCGCATCTGATCCAGGGGCGTCAGTTTCAATGAAGCCCGAGCTCCGGCGAAGTTTCTAATTTTATCTCTGGCTGAATTAATTCAATGAGGCACTACAGCCCCTATTAGCATCGCTGTTATCCACAGCATCCCAAACCAGCTCTTGTTAACGACGTGAGATTGTTACTATAACAAGCATAATGTTTTCTTGTTGAGCTGGTGAAGCTTTATTGTTTCATCCCCCTAAAGCTTAATGTTTGCTGATTAACTTCCATAAAGCAATTGTCTCTTTTGATGGCCTACACAGGTTTATTTGTTTGTTTCCTTTTGTTTTCTTTTTGTTTTGTTGTTTTTTTTATGTTCCCTGTCAGGTAAGAAGCCCACAAATCTATTCTTGTATTACGTAATAGTCGATTACTAATTACGAAACTGGAAAATACTAAAAAATAAAACTTCAGTGTTGAGCTGAAGGCAAACACCTTACTCATGAGGTTGATTTCAGCATCTTGCTCCTGGATGCAGCAGGCCTACTGTAGCCCAATTTAGACTGTTAAAATACATATAAATTAGCTTTTAGATACCGTTTTCATCAAAGCATTTGTGCTGATGTAAAGCAGGAAAAGGTAGCACAAAACACCCAGTCAGCAATGTTTTGTAGCTAAAAAGTTGCTTTAACTTATGTACTAATCAGAGGGTATTTCTCACCCAAATGACTCAAGAGTTAAATTAAACAAAAATTACCTTAAATAATTTATTATATAGTTTAATCTATTTCCACAAGTAAAGCTAACTCAAAACTGGGTTTCATTTTCCTAAATTCCATAATCTACACATGGTCCAAGCTTTTGTAGAGTTATGGTGGTCAGCCAGAGTTTAGACAGTTGAGTATAATTTTTTGTAGTTTGAGTTATTTTGAACAAGGCACAAAATAATGATTGAAGAAAACCTGCAAGCAAACACTGGAAATGAGTTTCTCTCATTTTAGGGTCAACAAACTCAGAGTTATTTGCTAAACCTTCTTCCTGGAATAGGCCTCGGTGCACTTACATATAAATAAATCCACAGACTTCTACGCTGCAAGATGCATGTTGTATGCTGTTTGACCAAAAAGCTAGGGCTAAGACTAAACGGAGACTAAAAGAAAACTGAAGATAAGATTCCACATGGATGTTACTAATGCACACAATGCCTCCTGTTTGTAAATAACATTTAAATTTATAATAATGGATTATATGGCAGTGGGGAATAAATTTCACTACAGTAGATGTCCATCTGAAAGTGCTGTAATTAGAATTAATTTATCTGAATTTCAGGAGCGGCTCCACACCTCCATACATACACATCTACTAGAAATGCTGTCAAAGTTAAAATGAGGATTAGAATTAGAATTAGAATTAGAATTCAACTTTATTGTCATTGCACATGCACAGGTACAGGGCAACGAAATGCAGTTTGCATCCATCCAGAAGTGCTTTAGTGATATAGATATATTACAATATATATTAGCAATAGGATGTGGTCCCAGCTAGTTAACTTAGCTACACTAAAAACGTGTAAATCTTCCACTGTTATTTTTTCAGTGGCATGTGGCAACACTGTGCAGAGCAGTTACTTAAACTCTGCTCCAACAGAGGTCGAATATCTTGTTAATAGTGTGACATCCTCACTGTGCACGACCCTGCATACTTTGGCTCTTCTAAAAAAAGAAGGAAACAAATCAGAAATTCCTGAAAATGCTGCAGTGAGAGAACTGACAGTGAGACCACATTTCTCTCATATAGGCTTCTATTCTTTGGCTCACTATTAAATCAAGAAGGAAATTTAAAATCCTTTTCCTCACTTTCAAGGTCTTGAATAATCAGGCACAATCTTATCTTCAAAACTGCATATTACCATTAAGCATATAGTTCAGACCCTGAACCCTTTCTCAGTAACACTGCATTAGGCTTAGGTTGCTCAGTTTCCCACGGTGCCCTAAATGATTCTTCGTCATTCATCTCTTTTCGCTCTCTGTGTGTGAATACACCATTTTGCATTTAATCAATGTTATCATTAAACTCTGCTCCATTAGTGTGTCTTTTGTCTTGTGTCAGTCCTTTCGTCTCCAAAAGGTCATCATGGCAGATGGCTCCCATTTCCTTGAGGCTGGATTTTCTGGGCATTTCTTCCTGTTAAAAGGGAGTTTTTCCTTCACACTGTCAGCAAATTCTTGCTCACAGTAACCAACAACCAGCGATCGGGTAAACTGACATATTTAGAGTGCAAAAGGTGTTGTGACTATTTCTAGATTGAGAGCAGTAACTGCCTTTAGCCCTGTCATTAGCATTAGAAAGCACCTTCGTTTTTACAAAAAAGTTGAGTAAAGTTCTCCTCAGTATCAGCAAAAACATCAATACACATATTTCCCAAAATGCTGATCCATTTTTTAATAGAAATGTCAGCCTGTCGGTGTAGTGTTTCCACTGCAGAGAGATGACAAAAATACTATATAGTATACATTTATTTACTACATAAACCCTCTAGCTAGAAGTCTTTTTTGCCTCACTCATAGCTGGCTTCTTCCTCGCACGACAGTTTCTCAGCACATTAATGTGAGAACAAACACATCCCGCAGTCTTGCAAAATGTATATTTCTTTTCTTTTTTTCTTTATTTTAACCTCCTAGGACCTGGCGTCCACATATGTGGACATCACATTTTGGGTTATTTAGACTAAAATACTCAATTTTGCTCTACATGGGCCTGATATCCACTTACAAGGACATTATCCTGCTACTGTTCTATCAAAATTCTAAACCAATATCCTCATATGTGGCTCTTATTTTTCTTAAAAACAAAATAAGGGAAAGAAAAAAAAATCTGGTCATTCTTTGTTTTTACATTCATCGGGCCCCAATATGCCCAAATATCAAAGAGAAATAAAAAAATGCATGCTGTGGAAGAGTTCGGGTCTTAGGAGGTTAATTATAGCTACTGTGAAAAAGGCCTTAATTTCTGCTCTTTTTATGAAGTAATAAAAGCACTCAAGAATACATTCAGTGTCAAATCTTGGGGGGAAGTGCCTTCTTTTCGATACTGCTTGAAGATTTAGCAGCAGAATGGCTTTGCAAAATTGAAAATCTGCAATTTAACCAAAAGCGTTGCATGTAAAAATATCTGACTCCTTTGCATTGAGCAAAAAGTGATGGAAATGATGATGAGACACAATGAAATTGTGGGAAAGCTGTTTAAGCCTGTTTTCATTTTTTCCACTTTGCGACGATTGTTTTAACAATGCGATAAGGCATCTGGTTTTACCAGAGGAGAGAAAAGCATCTATTTATCCCCTTACGACCACTGGAAGTTGCACCTGAGCAGAAAATGTGAGCTATAATAAGATGCACTTCAGTTGTAAAGACCTGTAGAAGCAGATGTTAATTTATTTAATGAAGACATGAAGTCTGAATTATTTGCTGCAGCTTTACTAAGCGCCAGAAAGGAACATAGTTTTCCTATAAAAAACTTTTATGAAAACACCAGCTGTTCTGTCTTCTACCAGAGAGAAAGTCAAATAAAAGATTCAATTAGAAGCATGTCTGTTCATGCAGGGGAAATCAAATAATTACTGAAAGGCTGGATGATGCATTTTAATTATTGGTGCTGTTTTGAACAAAAAGGCACAGGAAAAGAAAGACTTAATGTCATGATATCCCTGACTTTCTAATAATTTGCAGCGGAGGATTATCCATTTTTCAAAGCAACGGAGAAGCTGATTGGTGCTTGCTGTTGGCTTATGTTGACACACTCTGGGCTACTGTCCAAACAGGCCACAATCTTTTCAGCTCCACAGAAATTAAACTAATTTTCACTTTAATCCACAGTGACCTTTGTGCTTGTCCTGAACTGAAGTATTATCACAAGTTAGATTAAGTCCTTTCTGGAAAGAAGTCATTGAAATCTTGGCTGGTAAAAACGGTTTTGCTTGGTAAAACTTTTCTGTATCTCCATGACTATGTCTGCTGTGACACAGATAGGTGTCATCTCCAGAAATATAGAGAGAAAACTGAGGTCTTACGCTGATCGGCTTCATAATTGTGGTCAGAATTAAAGTTTGTCAATGGAAGAGTCAGATTCAGCCAGAAAATAAAGAATGGGATGAATGGATGACAGGTGAATCCTGGGCATTTTTAAAAAGAGAGATCATTCATTGCTTCATTATGAATCCCTCCACTTCAGCAATCCACAACATGTAATTGCACCTGCTGCTTTCACAACCCTGAGACAACTCTCCTTAAACAGGTGTGCATACTCAAAAACTTCACTACTTGAAAAATCAAACTTTCTGCTAAATAAACTTTCAAGCACCATTATCCCACATCCCAAAGGTATTTTATTGCATTCCGATCTTTCAACTGGGGAGGTCACTGAAATCCACTGATGTAAAACATGAAAACTCATTTTCATGTTTATGAAACTAGCTTGAGAAGATTTTTGCTTTGATGTGGTTCATTTTCATGGTAAGTAGCCACTAGAGGATGCTGAAAACTGTGGCCATAAGGGGACGCACATGCAAGAACAATTCTCAAGGAGGATTTGGCTTTAAAATCTTTATAAAATGGCATTTAGGCACCCAAAGCGAAAAGAAAACACTCTCCACAGAATTACATCACGGTTGGCAACCTGGACATAACATAAGACAGGCTGGCTTCATGCATTAAAGCTGTTCACACCAAATATTCACACCAAATACAAAGCCAACCATGTCAGCCTCAGATTTCTGTTCTGAGCTGACAGGAGTGCAATGCGACATCGTTTTCTGCTGTTGTTGCCCATCCCCCCTCAAGGTCAGACGTGTTGTGCTTTCTGATACACTGAGACTTTGTTTTCCTACTTATCACAGCTGTGAAGACCAGTTACCTGACTTATCATGGCTTCTCTGTCAGTGCAAACAAGGCCAGCTGTAGTCTTTTGACCGCTCTCA